GATTCTGCGAGCAACTCAATCTGCCTGCCTACTTTTGGGGAAAAGTTGCTCTTTTTTTTAATTAAAAAAAATCAATATTTACACCCATGGTGTGTTGTGAGATAATTTTGTGAGTTGGCTTGCAAGCAAATTTTACGTGACAGGCTCAGGTAGCCGATGGCAGATAGATAGATCACTGAATGATTCTGTGAGCAACTCCATCTTGACTGCCTGCTTGGCCTGATTTTGGGGTACAAGTTGCTCTTTCTTTTTTAAATAAAAAAAAAATCAACGTTTCCATCAATATTGACATACAAGCCCTGCCCAGCCAGTCACATGACCCCCCTCAAGCGCCACACCCACCAATTAGGCCACGCCCACCCAACCGGTTGTGAGGGGAATTTGAATCCCTCCCCTCTCTCTGCAGCGCCTCACCACCCCCTTTTCCCTGGGGGTGAGGGGGGGCACAGGACCTGGAGGGGAACGGGACCCACCTCCACCCCTTTGACCTTCAGCTTCATGTGATCCTCCCGCGTGGTCTTGCCGTCCTTCCGCTTCTTCCAGCAGTAGCCATCCTTGCGGTATTTGACCTTCTTGCGGTTGTACAAGATGAGGGAGCCGTTCTGGGGTCTGCCGGGAGAGGGACAGCCCTGGTGAGCGGGGGGACGGGGGAGGACCCTGGGGCTGTGGAGGACACCCCTCCCCCCTTTCCACAGGTGTGCAGGGAGCCCCGGGGAAGAGAGAGAGAGAGAGAGAGAGAGGCAGGCCAGCCTTCCCCCTGCAAGGGGCTCCGTGGGCCTCTGCCTGGCTAGCAGGCGCGTCCCCGCTGTGCCAAGGCTCGACCAGGCAGGCCAGGAGGGGCAGACACCTGTTTGGGCCAGCTTCCTTTCCACACACCTGTGTGAGGCTGGCTTAGGGGTGGGGGCCCACTTTTTCCCCCTCGAAATGGCAGCCAAAACAGCCGCGGGAGGATGGGTTGGGTCGCCCCAAAGCCGTCACCGCCAGCCAAGAAAGAATTTCAGAAGGGCCCACCAGGGATGGGGGGGGGGG